ACGCCCAGGACAGGCCCCAGGGGTCTCCAGGAGATTCCCAGGAGGCTCCCAGGAGGCCCCAGGAGGCCGCCTATCAGAACGTGTCAAGTTAATACACATCCGGTGCCGATTCGTTGATTTTTCCTGCTCTTGTGCCCCCCCCTCCATTTTGAGGGGCCCAAGCGGCCACAGGTTAGATATCCCCCCTGGGAGCCCCAAGATGCTTCAGGAAACCTCAGGTGGAGTTCACGAGGCCACGGGAGGCCCAGGAGGAAGCTCCAGGAGGTCCCCAGGAGGCCCCAGGAGGCACCAGGAGGCCCCCGCAACTCGGAGCTCTGAGACGCCGCGCTCGAGGTGGTCCGGCCCGTTTCGCCTGAGACTTCCTCGCAGCACGTTTCGCCCGAGACATCGTCGCAACTCTGGGGTCCGAGATGCCGCGCGCGAGGTGGTCCAGCCCGTTACGCTGGAGACATCCTCGCAACTCTAGGCTCCGAGATGCCGTTCGGATGAAGAGGAGGTGGAGGAGGAGGAGGAGGAGGAGGAGGAGGAGGAGGAGGAGGAGATGGAAGGGAGAAGGAGGAGGCGGATGATGTGCATGAGGGAGCAGGCAGGAGGAGGGGGAGGCCCCAGAGAGCTTCAGGAGGCCGCAGGACGCCCAGGACAGGCCCCAGGGGTCTGCAGGAGATTCCCAGGAGGCTCCCAGGAGGTCCCAAGAGGCCCCCTATCAGAACGTGTTAAGTTAATACACATCCGGTGTCGATTCGTTGATTTTTCCTGCTCTTGTGCCCCCCCCTCCATTTTGAGGGGCCCAAGCGGCCACAGGTTAGATATCCCCCCTGGGAGCCCCAAGAGGCTTCAGGAAACCCCAGGTGGAGTTCAGGAGGCCACAGGAGGCCCAGGAGGAAGCCCCAGGAGGTCCCAGGAGGCCCCAGAGGCACCAGGAGGCCCCCGCAACTCGGAGCTCTGAGACGCCGCGCTCGAGGTGGTCCGGCCCGTTTCGCCTGAGACTTCCTCGCAGCACGTTTCGCCCGAGACATCGTCGCAACTCTGGGGTCCGAAATGCCGCGCGCGAGGTGGTCCAGCCCGTTACGCTGGAGACATCCTCGCAACTCTGGGCTCCGAGATGCCTTTCGGGATGAAGAGGAGGTGGACGAGGAGGAGGAGGAGGAGGAGGAGGAGGACGAGGAGGAGGAGGAGGAGGAGGAGGCATGTTTTAACATGCCATGCCAGCCCGCACTGGACGGGCACGCAATCGACCTTGGAAACCGCAGTGGGTCTAAAAACCCTGTTTGGTGATACTGCACTCCAGCTATAATTGTTGTTTTTGTTGTTGTTGTTCTTGTTGTTTATTCTCATTGCTGAAGAACATGCATTGTTGATGCCCCCTCCAGTGCACGTGGTATTTTTCAATTGAAGTACCCCTCCCAGCGTTCGCATCCGGTTCTTTATCAAAGAAAATCTTCCTCCTCAAACTGTGCCCCTGGCCCCCGGTTTACAACAACAACGGCTCCCGCTTGATACTTCCTCGAAATTTACTCCGGTCCCCCGCTCCCGCTTGAGATGTCCTCGCAATTTACAAAAAGAATCGCGCTCCCGTCTGTGACTTCCTCGCAATTTGCTCAGGAGCAGCGCTCTTGCCATTCAGGAATCGCGCGTTCGCTGGGGACTTCCATTTACTTAGGAATCGCTCTCTCGCTGGAAACTTCCTGGCTCATCACGCAGAACTCACGATCGATTCGCCCGCTCGGCCCGCCCGTCAAGGTCATGCCCTTCGTGCCCCATGCTCGCTCGCGCCCTTTGTGCCTCATTGCTGCCCTTCGTGGCCCCTCCCCTTGTGGCCCAGTCGCTGCCCTTCGTGGCCCCGATGCTGCCCTTTGTGGCCCATATGTACGCCATTCGTGGCCCCTAGTCGCTCGTGCCCTCAGTGGCCTCATTTTTGCTCTTTGTGGCCCTTGTGTAGCCCCGTGTGACCCCCCCCCGCGCGCCGTCCATTGTGGCCCCCTCGCTGCCCTTTGTGGCCCCATATGCGCCCTTCGTGGCCCCCAATCGCTCGTGCCCTGAGTGGCCCCATTGCAGCCCTTCGTGGCCTCAGTGTAGCCTCGTGTGCCTCCCCCCCCCGCTGCCCTCAGTGGCCCAGACGCTGCCCTTTGTGGCCCATATATTCGCTCTTCGTGGCCCCCAGTCGTGCTCTCAATGGCCCCATTGCTGACCTTCGTGGCCCCGGCGTACGCCCTTGTGTGGCCCATGTATACGCCCGTCGTGGCCCCCAGTCGCTCGTGCCCTCAGTGGCCCCAGTGCTGCCCTTCGTGGCCCCCTCGTTGCCCTTATGTTCGCCCTTCGTGGCCCCCAGTCGCTCGTGCCCTCAGTGACCCCATTGCTACCCTTCGTGACCCCAGCGAACCCCCTTGTGCCCCCCCCCCCCCCCTGCTCATTGTGGCCCCGCTGCTGCCCTCAGTGGCCTAGACGCTGCCCTTCGTGGCCCCCCGTCGCTTGCGCCCTCAGTGGCCCCGTTGCTGCCCTTCGTGGCCCCAGCGTAGCCCTTCGTGGCCCCCTTGCTGCCCTCTGTGGCCTTCAGTGACCCCATTGCTGCCCTTCGTGGCCCCGCTGCTGCCCTCAGTGGCCCCTCGCTGCCCATTGTGGCCCCGTTGTTGCCCTTGGTGGCCCATGTGTACGCCCTTCGTGGCCCCCAGTCGCTTGTGCCCTCAGTGGCTCCATTGCTGCCCTTCGTGGCCCCGCTGCTGCCCCCAGTTGCCCCCTCGCTGCCCTTTGTGGCCCATACATACGCCCTTCGTGGCCCCCAGTCGCTCGTGCCCTCAGTGGCCCCATTGCTGCCCTTCGTGGCCCCAGTGTAGCCCCGTGTGACCCCTCCCACGCTGCCCATTGAGGCCCCCTCGCTGCCCTTTGTGGCCCATATACGCCCTTCGTGGCCCTAAGTCGCTCGTGCCCTCTGTGGCCCCATTGCTGGCCTTCGTGGCCCCAGCGTAGCCCCGTGTGCCCCCCCCCCCGCCGACCATTGTGGCCCCGCTGCTGCCCTCAGTGGCCCAAACGCTGCCCTGTGTGGCCCCATCGTGGCCTCCCGTCGCTTGCGCCCTCAGAGGCCCCGTTGCTGCCCTTTGTGGCCCCGTCGCTGCCCTTTGTCCTCTAAGTATCTCTGACCATCTCTCTCTCTCTCTCTCTCTCTCTGTCTTCGTTCCTGTCTCCCCTCTTTCCCTGTTTTAGGGGCTGCGCCGCGCCAACTACACGCGCCAAGTAATGAAGATGTACCCGCACGCTCTCGACTGAGACTTCCCCACAATTCATTTAGGACTCACGCTTTGATCCGCCCGCCAGACCCGCCCGTCAGTGCCGCCCGCCTGACTTGCCTGTGACGGCAAGCCCAGCGGCTCGCTTGGAAGCTCGCTGGGTGCTTTCACGTCTCGCACGCCCGACCCGCCCGTCAGGGTCCGCCCGCGGGTCTGCAGGCCCCGCCCGCCCGACCCGCCCGTTGGGGACCGTTGCCCGACCCAACCGTCCAGGTCTGCCGCTTGTTTTCCGGATCCTCTCTGAAGCCCCCCACCTTCTAATCTCTCGCGTCCGCAGTTCTGCTCCTTCCCTGTTGTCCCTTGCCTTCCTCCCTTACCCCACTCCTTTCCTCCTCGCTTTCTCTCTCTCTCTCTTTCCCTCTCTCTTTCTGTCTTACTCTCTCTCTCTCTCTCTCCTTTCTCCCTTCTCTTGCTCTTTTAGGGGCTGCGCACAGTACACGTGGCAGGTCAGGAAGATGTACCCCCCAGAAGGGGTACGATCGAAGATAAAGAGGGCGGGTATCGGGGGTTTGGGATATACGTGAGGTACGCGCGAGCAGACAAGAACGAACAATCTTAAACTTATTGTTGTGGTTGTTGTTGGTATAATCGTCGCCGTTGTTGTTAAGTGATGTTGTTTGATGTTGTTTTGCTGTCGTCGTCCCGCCGCGACCCGCTCGCGACCCGGCCCGCGACCCAGTCCGCGTGACCCACCCGCGACTCACCCGCCACCCACCTGCGACCCACCCTGCGACCCACCTGCGACCGGCCCGCGACCCACCCGCGACCCACCCCGCGACCCGCCCGCGTCCCGCCAGCGACCCACCCGCGACCCGTCCGCGACCCGCCCGCAACCCACGCCGCGACCCACCTGCGACCCGCCCGCGACCCACCCGAGACCCACCCGCGACCCACCCCCCCGCCCGCGACCCGACCCCGCCCGCGTCCCACCCGACCCGCGACCCACCCCGCGACCCCCCCGCGACCGCCCCGCGACCCGACCCGCCCGCAACCCACGCCGCGACCCACCTGCGACCCGCCCGCGACCCACCCGAGACCCACCCGCGACCCACCCCCCGCCCGCGACCCCGCCCGCGTCCCGCCCGCGTCCCACCCGCGACCCGCCCGCGACCCACGCCGCGACCCACCCCCCCGCCCGCGACCCGCCCGCGTCCCGCCCGCGTCCACCCGCGACCCGCCCGCGACCCACGCCTCGTCCCACCCGCGACCCGTCCGCGACCCGCCCGCGACCCACGCCGCGACCCACTCCGCGCCCACCCGCGACCCGCCCGAGACCCACGCCGCGACCCGCCCGCGACCCACGCCGCGACCCACCCCGCGACCCGCCCGCGACCCGCCCGCGACCCGCCCGAGACCCACGCCGCGACCCGCCCGCGACCCACGCCGCGACCCGCCCGCGACCCAGCCGAGACCCACGCCGCGACCCGCTCCGCGACCCACCCGCGACCCACCCCGCGCCCGCCCCCTTCCTCTTATCCGCAACTGCGGGGTGCTTCAATACATATAATTTGAGGTCCGCGCGGATCTCTTGGATCGGCGCTGGAACCTCCTCCCTGCGCGCGGAGCGCGCCAGGGGCGGCGCTGGAGGCGCCGCCAGGAGGCTCCAGCGCAGATCCGAGAAGCCCGCGCGGAGCTCCGAAAGCTGATGTTCATGCACTTTGTTTCTCCTTCGACCTGGCCTCCTCCCCCCTCGCCCTCCAGTGGACCCTGGCTCAGCGCCTGTCATCCCGCCGGAGCACGGCAGCCGCAAGTCCAGCCTTTCCCGCCGCACGTGCCGATCGTGCGCCGCAGCGGCGTCCCAGCGCGGGGCGGGCGCGTACCCGCCGAGCCGGCTGAGCCTGAGCGGAGCGCCGCGGCGGCCGGGCGGATCGGAGCGCACGGGATCGAGCGCGCCTCCCCCCAGCCGCGCTCGAAGCTTCCTCCGTCTTCGTTCATCCTGGGACCCTTACGCCTTCCAGCGCGACGGTCACCAGCAGCATGACGAAGGCCAGCACGACGGACACCAGCAGCACGATGAGTGATGCGTTGCCGACGGAGGCGTGCACACCAGGAGTCACCGAAAATGGAGTGGAGTAGCCACTGCGTAGTGAGCATGCCGTCACGTGCTCAGGAAGAGCCCGCAACGTGCAATACAGCTGGCCATTCTCGTCGTGTTGGTGTGGAACTCTCTTTGCAGTTCTGTGGTCGAGCGATTCTTCCCGATAGTTTCGATCGGCTCCTCCAGGCCTGCTGGCACCTGCCCTCCTTAGAAGAAGAAGCAAAAACGCAATAAACATAACTTTTGGCGTTTTCCCCAATCAGTGCTTGCACTGAAGGGGTCCTAGCGGATGTTGAAGGATTTGGCGAAAATTCTCCGCCGATTTTGGTGGCAGGCTGGAGTCCCGGGTTCCCGGGTTCCCGGTTCTGTTCCCAGTTCCGGGTTCGGAGGGCGGCGAGGTTCCCGGGTTCCCGGGTTCCTGGTCGATCTTCTTATCGATCGGTCTCACCATCGATCTCATTACCGACTTCTCGATCGATCTCACCATCGATCTCACAATCGATCTCACTATCAATCTCACAAGCGATCTCACTAGAGATCGCATGACCGATCTCGCGATCGATCTCACTATCGATCTCATTGAATCGATTTCACTCTCGGTCTCACGACCGACCTTACAATCGTCCTCACTATCGTTTACACCATCGATCCCATTATCGATCTCACAATCGATCTCAGGATCCATGGTACCGATTTTCAAATCATCCACTGGTTGGGGTTTTCTCAGGTGTTATTTGCCTTTTCGAAGGCCGACTGCAAATTTCCCCCTACCTTGCGCACTGTCGTTCCTGCTACTTGGGGCGCCGTCCGCCGCCCTCTCGTCTCTGCGCCTTGGGCGCCGCCCGGGAGTCCGAGGGCTGGGGCTCCCTTCGCTGGGGAGGGTGGCGGTCGACCTGAGCTCTCGGGGTGAGAGCCTTCGGCAGGACGGCGCGCGCAAACTGATGCAATGCCGAGTCCGACCGGTTCCTCCTCCTCGCCGTGCTGCTGCTCCTCCTCCTCCTCCTCCTCCTCCTCCTCCTCCTCCTCCTCCTCCTCCTCCCCCTCCTCCTCCTCAGGCTCTTTCTCCGGCTCCTCTTTCTCCACCCTCGCATGCTGCTGCTGCTGCTGCTGCTCCTCCTCCTCCCCCTCCTCCTCCTCCTCCTCCTCCTCCATGTTCCCTCCTCTTGCTGCTGCCCCTCACCCTCCTGCGCCTCCCACCATCCTCCCTGATGTATGTGTATATATAGATATTTATATATATATGTATATATATACATATGTAGATATATATATATATATATATTTTTGTTCTCTATCTCTCTCTCTTTCTGTGGCGATCGCTGCTGTCGGCGAATGTAAAGTAGCGAAAGTTTGTTTGGTCGGAGCGTTCGGCGGAACGCAAGCCGAGCGAAGTCGCTGGCCCCCAGGCGGCGAGGAAGGTGGGATACGTCTTCTTCACTTATGCGTCGCGCACAACGTTTTTTGTGGATCTCTTTTTTTTGTGTGAAGCGAACTCGCCTGGCGGGGGTTCTGAAATCGTCATGGAACATCTCTATGGGGCCTCTGGAACCCGGGGCACCCTGGCAAAACAAAAATGCCCTCCTTGCGCGATGCCCCAAAACGATACCTTGTGGGATGGTTCTGCGATTCCAGAAGGGTGCAAAGCAAACCAGCGGAACCTCATGGGCACCAAAAGGAACATGAGGAGTCCGCAAGAATCCCGAAGTCCAACGACATCCAGGGGAATCCAGAAAAGGGCCCTGTGGAGCATGGAGGAGTTTTGAAGATCCTTGAGGAATTCGGATGGTTCCAGAAGAATGTTGTGGGATCGTGGTGAAATCTGAGGATCCGAAGGAAGCCTCAAAAATGTGGGATCTCGGGGTGAGAGCCTTCGGCAGGACGGCGCGCGCAGACTGATGCAATGCCGAGTCCGACCGGTTCCTCCTCCTCGCCGTGCTGCTGCTGCTCCTCCTCCTCCTCCTCCTCCTCCTCAGGCTCTTTCTCCGGCTCCTCTTTCTCCACCCTCGCATGCTGCTGCTGCTGCTCCTCCTCCTCCTCCTCCTCCTCCTCCTCCATGTTCCCTCCTCTTGCTGCTGCCCCTCACCCTCCTGCGCCTCCCACCATCCTCCCTGATGTATGTGTGTGTATATATATATATGTATATATATATATATATATATTTTTTTTTTGTTTCTCTCTCTC